GGGGTTAACCCCGGATCTACAATAGGGTTTTAAGCCTTAAGTCATAAGAAATGGACGAATCACAATCGATTATTCCCCTCGGATTCGACTATAATTGATCAGTTTCTTACGGCTTAAGTCTTAAAACATCTATTGTAGATCCGGACTAAAGGCCATCACACGTACAAAAATTTTAGTCGGAATCGTAAGGTCGCAAACAAATTGACCAATCACAATCAAAATTAAGATCTCGCGCTCGACTGTGATTGGCCGATTTGCCTACGACCCTAAAGGCCATCACACGTACAAAAATTTCAGTCGTAATTGTAAGGCCGTAGGCAAATCGGCCAATCACAGTCGAGCGTTTAAAAGCGCGAGATCTTAATTTTGATTGTGATTTGTCAATTTGTTTGCGACCTTAAGGTCATCACACGTATAAAACTTTTAGTCGTAATCGTAAGGCCGTAAGCAAATCGGCCAATCACAATCGAGTGTTTTTAAACGCGAGATCGTAATTTTGATTGTGATTGGTCGATTTACTTGCGACCTTACGATTACGACTAAAATTTTTGTACGTGTGATGGCCTTTACGATTCCGACTAAAATTTTTGTACGTGTGATGGCCTTTATGCGGGGTCTACAGTAGAAGTAGCGGTCGTAGAGTTTTAAGTCGTAGAAAATTGACCAATCACAGTTGATTATTCTTCTCATATTCGACTGTGATTGGTCAATTTTCTACGACTTAAAACCTTACGACTGCTACGACTTCTATTGTAGACCCCGCATTATGGTCGCTGCACAGACTCTTGCATAACGCATAATGCATAGTGCATAAGGGAATCGACCAATCGAAATTCTTCTTTTCCATGGAATGGAAGGAAAGGAAAGAGTCTGATTAGTTGATTCGCTTATACACTATGCGTTATGCGTTATGCAAGAGTCTGTGCTATGGCCTTTAGAATCGCCACGAGTCGCTGCAAGTCGCTGGTTGTCCGTTGTCGGAGTCGGAGGGCCACGTTCGAGCAGCTGAGAGAGCCTGACGTCCGGCGCATGCGTATTCGTCGTGCGACGCAACAGTCGTAAACACGACCCTTCCTTTTTTTTTTTTTTGGTCGGTGTTCCTCGCGTTTCGAGCACGCCTGTACGGGGTGAACCGAACGTCTCGTAGGGTGAGACGCGTCGCGATTCTGCGGCGTTGACGTTCTCGCGTGAGTTTACGCGAGCCGAAAGATGATGGTTACGGCGGTGACACCGCGACTCGGCATCTCGTGATATCGTAAAATTCACGACTCGATGGTATGCGGTGACGTCATCCGAATCTGCTCTGGAAGGATCCAGCAAGACAATGGCGGGTGCGTATTGCGTGTTGGCGTCGAGCGACCCTTCCGCGCCCCCTTGCGATTATAGTCGCCGTCTTTGTACGTAATTATGAGTTTTACGTTTCAGATTTGTACGCGCAATACAGCTGCACCTATTGCCGAGAGGACATCGCGGGTCTACGTGTCAAGTGCATCGAGTGCCCCGAATTCGACCTTTGCTTGCAGGTGGGTTGATCGTTCGGACGACCATTTTGAATCACGTGATAGACTCGCTTCCGTCTTCATTTTTTTTTTTTACAACTTTTCTGTTTCTCTTGTTCTTTTTTCCTCTCATACTAGGTTTTCCCCCCTCTTTTCTGTTAAACATCTATTCATTTTTTTTCTGTATTTTTCGTATACTTTCAATCGTATTCGCTTTTGCGTATGTTCTTTTGTGTTTCCATGTTTCTCCCCTATTTCTCCCCCATTTCTCCCCCATTTCTCCCTTCCCTCTCTTTTACTCCCTCTATTTGCGAACCTATGAATGAAGTTGATTACTAAAGATCTAGTTCTTTGTGGCTGAACTTGCGTACATTTGTTGTAATATTTGAAATGAAAAGAGAGGAGATTTGTTCGTTGCTTAAAGTCCTTTAAAATTTTTGCATTTAAAATGAGATAAATATATATTCGAGTATTGGAGAGGGAGAACATTCTAAGTATGAAAAGTGCAACCAGCACAGATGGATTTTATATTTGGAGTTTGGCGAAAGCAAGGTAGAAAATTTTACATGGTGTCTATAAAAGAGCAGTAAACTTATATTAGCCAATCATAATTTATTATTCTCTTCGTATTCAACTGTAATTGACCAATTTCTTAAGGTTTGAGTACTTCTCTGTTGTAGATACTGCTTTAGTGCAGCAACAAAGAATGGGGGTCTTCAGGGAGCTTATTATGGTTTTTGTGACGAAGTGAAAATTACAAAAATGATCAAATTTACTAGATGTTAACCAATGAAGTTATAAATATTCTAGTAAATTCAATCACTTTTGTCACAAGGAACCGTAATAAGCCCAAAAGGCTATCACACAAAGGTTTTTTAAAGTGTCTTCTATTATAGCATTTTTCACTGGGAAAACTAGTGCAACACTAATGCAATTGAATACAAATCATTTTATATATTTTTAAGGTTAATACATAATTTATTCTTTTTAAAATTTGAGGTTATCATGACAATGAAGAATCTGTAATTAAAAAATGTTAAATTTATTAACACTGAAAATATGTAAATTGATTTGCATTCAATTGCATTCACAATCGGTGTGCATCTGTTTTGCACTAATATTTCCAGTGGAAAATTTTATTATAGTTTAGACACAAGTCGGCACAAGTATCGTTCTGTCTTTGTTACTCATGGAATGCAAAGAAAGATAGAACGATATTTGTGACGTCTTGTGTCATTAAGGCTGTGTTCCAAAATTGACTGCCAGTATTGAAAATCTATAGTGCACGTAACGTAAACTGTAACATTTTCAGTGCTGACAGTAAATTTGGAATACAGCCTTAAATGATATCCAAAATGATATAAGCTGCATAAGTATGGCATGAGGCCTTTGGACCAATGAGCGTCTTATGTAAATCAACATACCGCCTTTGTGTTAGATGCTCATTGGGCCAAAGCCTTTAGGTGGGAGCAGTCTTGCATAACGCGTAATGCATAAGAAAATGAAACAATCAATGTCCTTCATTTCCTTTTTTTTTCTATGAAATAAAAGATTCTGATTCTCTTAGGGTATAAAAACATTAAAATTAAATAAAGTGTGCATAAAGAAAAATTACACTCAGAGAAAAAAGTCGTATCAGTAACTATAAATTTGTAGTGAAATAGCGCCTCAACTATATACATATTATTAAATTCTAATAAGAATACTAGATTAAGTGAACTAAGAAAATATAGTACATTAACCA